GTTTTAGAAGCGGATAGGGTCCTAAGGACGCTATTCTTCCTGAAGCCATTTCCAAGGTGCTGTGCTTTTCCCTCTGGATTATTTTTAAACTCCTCAGCATTGCCAGTACCCTCGGCCCTCTGTATCTGCAGGTTCCCATGTGTCGAATCAGTCACCGGTGGATATGGAGGGTCAACTCGGGGACTTGAGTATCCGTGGATTTTGGCATCTGGAGGGTCCCTGGAACCAATTCCCCATGGATCCTGAGGGCTGATTGTATGTAACCCTTAGAATGTCATCAGTTTTTGTGCCACTGGTTTCACTTTGACCCACAGGCAGCTTTTTTTTCTTTCTTTCTTTTAGTAAGGAATATCAATAAGTCAACAAGTATTTATTTGTACCTATACTCATGTTTTGTTTGTCATGCTCATCGAATAGTTTAAAATAGAGAGTTTGAAAATATCCCTCAATAAGAGAAGGGATAAAATGCAGTATATTCATACAACAGAATGCTACAATAGCAGGATGAACTAATGTACATAACAACATAATAAATCTTGCAGAAATTTTGTTGAGTGAAAGAAGCCAGACATAAAAGAGTGCATACTGTAAGATTCCATTTATATGAAGGTCAAGAGCTGTCAAATCTGTCTTATGATACTAAAGTCAGGATAGATGTTACCGGGCTGGGCATGGTGGCTCATGCCTGCAATCCCAGCACTTTGGGAGGCCTAGGCTGGTGGATCACCTGAAGTCAAGAGTTCGAGACCAGCCTGGCCAACATGGTGAAACCCTGTATCTACTAAAACTATAAAAATTATCTGGGCATGGTGGTGTGCACCTGTAATCCCAGCTCTTGGGAGGCTCAGGCATGAGAATCACTTGAACCCAAGAGGCAGAGGTTACAGTGAGCTGAGATTGTGCTACTGTACTCCAGCCTGGGTGATGGAGCGAGATTTTGTCTCAAAAAAAAAAAAAAAAAAAAAATAGAAGTGACCATGGTGGGAGGTGGGTTTAGGAAAGATGTGCTTCTGGATGCGAGTAATAGTCTGTCTTTTGACCTGAGTGCTGGTTACCTGGGTGTTTATTTTGTGAAAGTTCATTCAGTGAACTCTAAATGTTCACGAGGGAGCATTTTGTGAAAGTTCATTCATGAATTATATACTTTTCTGTATGTTCATTATACTTTAATGAAAAGTTAAAAAGGATACCATACAGAATTAACTAAAGGCATAATCGTTGATCATAGATGGACCTTAAAATTATACAAAACCAGAGAGATGACTTACTGTTTTCTGGCATGTATACTCTCTCTCTTTAAAGTGATCATTTTAGAAGTAATTAATTATGAAAGTGATAAATATTACATTACAAAATAAAAGGAAATGTAGCTAAACTATTTCTTTTAAAATATGTCAAGCCAGACCAACCTGACGATCATAGTGAAACACTGTCTCTACTAAAAATACAAAAGTTAGCCGGGTGTGATGGTGCATGCCTGTAATCTCAGCTACTCAGTAGACTGAGGCAGGAGAATCGCTTGAACCCGGGAGGTGGAAGTTGCAGTGAGCTGAGATTGCACCGCTGCACTCCAGCCTGGGCAACAGAGCGAGACCCTGTCTCAAAAAAAAAAAAAAAAAATTCAAGCTAGGTGTGGTGGCACATGCCTGTGCTCCGAGTTACTTGGGAAGTGAAGGTGGGAGGATTGCCTGAGCCCAGGAGGTTAAGGCTGCAGTGAGCTGTGATCATGCCACTGCATTCCAACCTGGGTGACAGAGAGAGACTCTGTCTCAAAACAAAACAACAACAACAAAAATATATTTTGTCTAAGTCAACTTCGCAGTCTTTGGAAACAGTAACTTATGACATTTAAAAAATATATCTCATTATTTTTTAGCTTTGTTTTCCTTTTATTATTGAGTGCTTTCCCATGTGCTTAATAGTCATTTGTGTTTCTTCCATGTCTATTTTGTTGTATGTGAATGCACTTTCCCTTTTTCTATTGAGTCCTTTTTTTTTAAAGTTGATTTGTTTTGGGTCAGTGGTTCTCAAATCTGGCTGTGTTTTTGAATCACCTGGGGAGCTTTTAAGAATTACCAATGCCAACCACCTTAGGCCAAATAATTAGGACCTCTAAGGGTTGGCCCTGAGCCTTGGTATTTTTAATGTTTTTTGTTTGTGTGTGTGTGTGTGTGTGTATAAATTCTGTTATGGAAATTTTTATGTGTTCCAATATATATAGCAAGTATTTTTTAACTTATAGATTTCCCCTTCATCATTCCCCCCATTAAATGATTAGCCTTTTCCAGTAATGGCAATCCTTACTGTCCTATGATTTATTTTTTCAAACAGTTTTTATCAAGAAGTAAAAGACAGCTACAAAAAGATACTCAGAACAAAGTACAGTTGAATGAGTTGTCATAAAGCAAATACCCACGTCAGTGCCTTGGAGGCTGGGAACAGAATGCTGTTGGCTTCCAGAGCCCCTGCGTGCCTTCTGTGCCGCAGCCTCTCGGATGTGCTTAATAGCTTGATTTTTATGGAAATCTCTTCCAAGATTAATTTTTACTTTGTTTCTTTTGTGGGATTTTGTGCATATTCTTGCATCATCAAGTCTCTTCTACTAAACATGTTTTGAGCAAGTTTTCCTCAAGAAACGTCATTAGTTGCAAGGACAGCAAGGCACACTCTCGTGTCCTTGAGCACTTCCTCTTCATTCTTGCCTTGCTGGTCATCAGGCACTCTTTTTTTTTTTTTTTTTTTGAGATGGACTCTGGCTCTGTCACCCAGGCAGGAGGGCAGTGGCACGATCTTGGTACACTGCAAGCTCCGCCTCCCAAGTTCGAGCGATTCTTCTGCCTCAGCCTCCCAAGTAGCCAGGACTACAGGCACACGCCACTATGCCCAGCTAATTTTTTTTTGTATTTTTGGTAGACATAGGGTTTCACTATGTTGGCTAGGCGGGTCTCCAACTTCTGACCTTATGGTTTGCCTGCCTCGGCCTCCCAAAATGCTGGGCTTGCAGGTGTGAGCCACCACTCCTGGCCCATCAGGCATTCTTAATCTCACTCTGGACTTCAGCAATAGTTCCTTTTGTTGCTTCACCTTTGTGGGCCACTTTACTTCAGGTTAGAAGCTGTATCCATCAGAGTTCTTAGTTATAAGTAATAGATGCCATCTCTGGCCAATTAATTAAAAGGGTGATCCATAGATTCTCTAAGAAGGTTGGGAATGTAGGCTTGAAAACCGCTGCCAGGAACAGTGCAAAATCATTTCACAGAACTCTCATGAAGACACCACTCTGGCCACAGACCTTGCTGCTTGTGCTCCAAACACCACTGATACTGGGCTCTGGGTGCTGCCCCAACAGTCACTCTCTCTGCTGCCCCAGGACACTGGATGTAGCTGCCATCCCCACCAGGTGGATTCTTCTGGAGTTCCGGCTTCTCCAAGTTAATCATTTCCCCTTGAAATCTAGCATAGTGTGTCTTATTTGGGGAGATGTGTTGTATGCCCTTATCCTAGTTTCAAAGAAAGATGAGAAAGCAAATATATGGTTTTTTTTCTTCTTTGTTCGTACTTTAGTAGTAGAAAGTGTACTTATCTCATAAGGTAGGGTGTGCCTAAATGTACTCAGCATTCAAGTGCTTGGTGTAAAGAAAGTCCACTCTAAAAGCTCTGTATGTCTTAGAAACCCATTCCGTGTAACCCAGTGATGTATCTTACACCACTAGCTTTTCTTACATAATGTAGTAGTTATTTGATGCAGGAATATGCCTTATTTCCAGGTGCAATATTGCTTTGTACATGGAGCTGTAACTATATTTCTGAAGCACTATGTATTTTAAAAAACCCCATTCTAATTTTAGCTAGTTGCAGGCATTTCTATTTTGTTTTATGAATAAATTCAAGGACATGTAATAGTTAAAAACTCAACCATAACAAATGTTGATATTTCCTGGTAGTGTTTTTACTGATAATTTTCTAGCTTATGGGTTATTTACCTTTTTTCAGGTTTGATCTTTCTGTATATAAAGACAATGTGGGAAATGGAAAACACCATATTAGAACCATTAGTGGATATAAATAGGATGATACATGCTTTTTCGAAACAAAAATGGTATAGCTTTTGTTATTGCAAAAGTATCTTACTCTTAAGTTACTATGAAACATGAACCCAGCTTTAAAAAATTAACACAAAAGCACATTCTTGGCTTACATATGATAACTTTAACAACCAACTAGTGAAGTTTTTATCTGCCTTGAAACCAGGGCATAGATGAATGAATGAAGCTGTGGACACTTTGGGTCAGCGGGCCTTGGTGATATTGTCTTGGTTCTGCTGGTGGTGTGCAGCATTACTCTAGGTGATTCATTTACATTCTTCTACATTTCATCTTTCCAGTTCTACAGAACTGATAATACTATCCCTTCCTCTTCACTTTTCTTACAATGGTATGTTAGAAGATCTGAGACAGGTGTGATTGAGCTTCTTAGAATTAACACTTACATGGTAACATAAAGGTTATTACAGTAAAAACAAAGATGAACGCACTGTAAAATCTTCATAGCAGGATGCGCCCTGTTTACTACGTAACAAGACACTGTTGTAATATCCTGATGTAAGGTCATGTTTCTGAATTATATTCAAACCAGGTGGCCCCTCAGTTTTGAATACTTAACAACTGCAGCTGTGGATTTAATGGGGTTAGTTAATAGGAAATTCACTTCAGGTCCATCCATTTGACCTCTGCTACATAGCCAATAGAAATTACATGCAGTGTTTCTAAAACTTATTTCCAGAAAATTCAGGCTAGCTTTAGCATTCCTCACCTAGCATAGGTGAAGTCTTACTTCTACAAATGAAAACAACAACAAAAAAATCCAGGGTTTCTAAATGTGGTAAAATTGTAACAGACAAGGTCAGGAATCCACTTACTGGCTGCTCAATATTTAGTGATACATTTGACTCCTTTTATGGTTTCAGATAGCAATTATTTCTAATATAATTTATTTTGCAGTGAGGGCCGAGGCAAGTTGACGGTATTTTCAGTTAAAGCTATGTTAGCAACCATGTGTGGTGGAAAAATGCTGGACAAATTGAGATGTAAGTATTTTCCTATTATTTGAAAAATGTCATTTTCAAATGAGGACTTTTAAATGAATATTGTCAGAATTTTGAATGATGCTATGTTGAGCTTTTAAAAAAAAATAGCAAATTACTCACTCTGCAGCAACTCACAGTAGGTGAGTTATGCCACCTACTGTTCAGATGGAAAAATTGGTTGATTTAATTTATTGTTAGTGTTTTTTAGTGAGAAAACTGAAAAGTCTCAGAATCCTAATGCTGACATTTAAAAAATTACTTTAGAAATGTTTTCCACATTATCAAAATTATACTTGAAGATGATTATATTGAGAACTTTTAGTTAAAATGTGATCACTTTTACTAGGTTTGGTTAGGTTTAGCTCTTAATAACTCCATTTTTCATCAGGTGATGTTTGCTGTGATTATGTTATTCGTTACTACCTTAGAGTCAGGTGCAGTTATTTAGAAGCTGATTACCTGTTTTTTTTTTTTATTTTAAGTTCCTGTTATGTTTGCTAATTTTTTAATTTTTTTTTTTTTTTACTATTTGTCATTTTGGCATTTTACTATTCATTAGATACTATAAGAAGGTGATTAGATGAAATCAAAAGAGGTGAAATTCATGATTTAATTTTGCTGCTTATGGTTTTTATTCAGTCATGAGTTACTCCCTAAGATATGCCAAGAATTGTGCTAGGGGCTTTACATGTATTTTCTCATGGAATCCTTAAAATGCTTTTGAATGACAGGTGATATTTTCTTCATTTTATAGATGAGTTAACCAAGGGGGCAAAGCTGGGGTTTTAACTCAGACGTCAGCGCCCTGTCCTGAGCTACGTGATTATGCTCCCCTGAGCTAGTGCTTTAACAGGAGACACATGGGTAATTTCAGCACGGCGTTCAGAGTGCCGTGAAACAGTAGCCACAGAGTAGGAAACTGGATGTCACCTTTCAGGGGAATGAGACTGAAATCTTAGTAAAGTAGTGTGGTACCCTGTGAGCCTGGATTTGGATGACTGTATCCTTGCAATGTTCCTCTGTGCCCTACTTTTTTTTTTTTTTAATTGAAGGATACAGAGGCTTGATCAGACTCAAGTATTAATACAAGTTTTTGGGCAAGATTACTTCATAGGTGCATTTGTTTTTTGTGCTTTTTCTTACTTTACCATGACACTGAAAGTTGGAAAGCTAGATGACCCACTAGATACAGATTTAGATATTCCAAAGAAATATCTTAATGTATTTCGTCAACTGCTATCCAGTTTAGCTTCATTTCAAAATCAGCTGCAATATAGAACATTTTTGGTAATAAAAATTATGATTTTATTTGAATATTCTTCTGAGGCTCTTTACATGGTACATCTCAGTATTCTTTGGGCTGAAATTTCTTTTATATTTTTATAAAATACAAAAATGATGTTTTCTGAGAAAGCTAATATGTTTGAAATTATATTTCATTCAAACACGAAGAAAAGTTATAATTTTGTCTGATTTTCAATGATGATGATACTAGATAAAGAATATATATACCATCTTTATTAATATCGGGGAGACGGGTTGAAAAATACAGTAGTAGAAAAATACAGTAGCAGAAAGTTGTTAACTGTGTATTCTAGATGACTCTGGAATCTTTAAGTTTCTTTAAAGTCAACTGTATTTACACAGCCAACTCACCTGACACATAGTAAATATTTAAAATTTTGTCAAATGTAAATTGTTGATCAAATACTGAAATTACTGGAGTTCTGTGTTGTAACTGTTAGCGAAAAGGCACAAATTCTAGTTCTATATTTGGAAGGTATCCAGGTGATGGCAGTTTTTTTCATGTGGCTTCTGAACTTTTTGGAGGAACACAACATGACCAAGACTGAAGTGGCACAGAAGCCCATGGGCCAAGCCAAAGGTGACATGTCAGTGTGCTCAGGGCCCCAGGTCATTGCAGTAGTGTTCAGATAGATGTGATACAGACTGTGCTGGGTTACCCATCACCATGTTTATCTTATTCAAGTCGATTTCAAGTGTGGTTTCTTTTCCATGCTAAAAATTAGAATTTCTCTGCCAGCTGTAGGTCTGTTTCATTATTTTTATTGTAGTGTAATTATCTTCGTTTGGGATTGAGATGTTCGACATAAGTAAAATATTTGGGTACAGAAGCCTGTCTCTACTTTTTAATCCTCCAGGGTGGAAACCACTTTAAAATGTGGCCTGGCCCTTCTGTTTTAAACAGAACTTGGCTGGGTGTGGTGGTTTATGCCTGTAATTCTAGCACCTTGGGAGGCTGAGACGGGAGGATCACTTGAGGCCAGGAGTTTGAGACCAGCCTGGGCAACATAGCAAGACCGTGTATCTATAAAAGTAATTTTAAGGCTGGGCATGGTGGCACATGCCTGTAATCCCAACACTTTGGGAGGCTGAGGCAGGCAGATTACCTGAGGTCAGGAGTTTGAGACCAGCCTGGCCAACATAGTGAAACTCCATCTCTACTAAAAATACAAAAATTAGCCAGGCGTGGTGGCACACACCTATAATCCCAGCTACTTGGGAGACTGAGGCAGGAGAATTGCTTCAGCCCTGGAGATGGAGGTTGCAGTGAGCTGAGATCATGCTATTGTATATCAGTCTGGCCAACAGAGTGAGACTCTATCTCAAAAATAAATAAATACATGAATGTAATTTTAAAAAGTTAGTTTGGCGTGGCAGTACATACCTGAAGTCCCAGCCACTTGGTAAGCTGAGGCCTCCAGGAGGATTGCTTGAGCCTAGGAGGAGTTCGAGGCTTTAGTGAGCTATGACTCTGCCACTGCACTGCAGCCTGGGTGTTGGAGTGAGACCCTGTCTCAATCCATCAGAACTCACTGATTATACTTATAACATTTTCATCTCTTAGGGATGCCATTTTCTGATGCATTTAGGATTTAGGGCTAATTGTGAAGCTTGGATTTTCTATTCCTCCTCCTCCTATTTTGAGACTACTGTGCTTTGTCAGTTCTTGAGTTTTTTGTTGTTGGTAGTGGTAGTGGCGGTGGCGGCGGTGGTTTGTGTATGTCCTTTATCACTGGCAAATATAATGGCATGTATTTTCAGTGTACCACTCTCTAGAAATCTCTCCTTGCTTCTGACTTACAACTTTTCATATGCTACGGACAGAGAAATCATAACCAAACCTCTTAGCGTTCTATTTAAAATAAGGATTTAAAGTGATTGTTAGGAGAGAAGCACTTGAACTCGTGTAGTATGATTGTTAGTTTGGGCTAGTTTCAGAACCTGTCCCGTCTTGTTTTCTAGTTCTCAGCAATGTCCTACTTAGTTGAGGTGGCTGAATAGTAGTGCAGCCAAAAGGGAGAAATAACACTGTATTGTAACAGCAAATGACCTTTGTTTATTCACTTTCTCCCACCTAATTATTCCATTGTTTTGGTTCCTGTTTGCTCCAACCTCCTTCTACTGACTGGACTCTCTATTGTTACTATTATTAATGTTCCTGTTAAGTTTTCTGATTTATGGAATGTTTTAGCATTTCTATGTTTTTTCCTTTTTGCTTTGATCTTAGATTTTTTCCTATGATTTTCTCCCCTCTACTTTTTTTATTTGACATGGGGTTTTTGGTTTGTTATAGTGCCAAGATACATTTGAATGACTGAACAAATATTTGTACTTCTAGTTTAAAACATTTCTTAGATTTTTCAGATTTGTCTTAAGTGACTTTCTGTCTCCAGGTAGCATTCATTTACAGAGATGGTTCACTGTTGTGGTCATTAGGGACTATGTCCTAGATTCAGAGGTAACTTATATCAGGATTCTAAATACCAGTTATTTATATTGGAATACGGACTTTAATTGAAAGCATGATCAAAATTCAGTAACGTCAGAAACCCAAAATATAACTCAAGAAAACAAAATTTGTAGACCGTAAAGCCCATTATGTGTTAAAATGTGCTTAATTATCAATTAATTTTACTATGTGATTTATTTACTTTAATTCTGCTATTTGTTTTCAAAGAAGCTTAGTCTTCTTATTCAAATTGCATCTGGTTGCACCAAAAGGAGCAAAAGATTCATCAGTTTATTTTAAAATTCATTAAAAAGCTGGTGCCACCATTTTGAAAGGCCGTTTAACAGTATGTATCAGGAAGGCTTTAAAAAGATTCATATTCATTCAGTCTACTTCTTGAGTTTATCCTAAGGAATTAATCAGAAGTATACCCCAAGCTTTTTGTATATTTGTGGCAACACTTATATGAAAACTTGAAACAGCGTTAGTGTCCAAAAGTGAGAACTCAGTTAAGTTTTGGGACATCCACATGATTGAATATAATGCCTTCAAAAATAGGGTTTAGATCAAAATGCGTAAGTGTAATATGGTTTTAAACAAAAATTTACTATGCACAAAGAAAATAAGAAAAATGCCGAAATGATAGCAGGAATTTTTCTCTGGGTTCTAACACAATGGTTTTATAATAATTTATATTTTTGCATGTTTTTGATAGGCCACACTATCAGCAGTCAGAGAATAGATGACCTGAGGCTCTTTCTGTTTTGCTCAGAATTGACTGTTCCTACAGATGTTTCAACTGCTTCCTTGATGTTTCATTAGCAGACTGAAGAAGGACCTCCCTTTGAAGTTACAGTTGAAGTTTACCCTGTTCAAACTTTAGACTCCTCTGCTGTAGTTTTTTAACCACCCATGGCTATGTAATTATCCTCATGGTTTCTGTTAACCATCGCTTTTCCTCATTAGATGGAAGTGACTTTAATCTGAATGAGTGATCCCCAGATTTACATTTCTTAAATAACCAAAATGTTTAGAACTGGAAGAAAGTAAGATACAAGCCCTAAATGTGTATTTTATGAATAAAGGGAAAGAAAGAAGAAAAAGGAAAACAAAAACCAAAGGAGGTCTGGAGCCTTGTCTCAGGCAGTTCTTGGCTGAGTCAACACTAGAAGCCCAAGGCATGTAGACTCCCACCCTCCAACCTCATTCTTGCATAATGATGTGGCATTTTAATGAGTTTCTTTGT